GTTGTGAAAATTAAATAATAAGCCATTGGAAAGCAGATACAAAGTGTCGCTAATATCAGAGGCCAAGAGGGGCAGCCAGATGGAGAAAAAAAAAAAAAGGAAAGAACACCTGATACATTACAAATCACAGCTTCCATCTACAATTCCATTACCACAAATACTGGAAGCAGTGGTCACGTACACTGATGCTATCTCATTTAATCTTAATATTATGATATACTAATCTTGGCCCTCTCCTTGCAGATGAGGGTCAGAAAGCCTAATACCAATCTTACAGCGCTGGTAAATGTCAGAATCCAAGTGTACCCTGATTTACCATAATTAACAGCTCATCCTAAATCCACTAAGGAATCCCCAATAGTCTTTGGGTCTCATAAAATTGTGTTTCAAATTCACACATTGTCTTTCAAAGTTCATTTCAAATACCTCTTTCTCCATGAAGCCACTTTCCCATTGTTTACTTGAGACAGTTTGATTCTAAGCACATTTGGTGCTTATTGTAGCTTTTTATTTATTATTATTCATCGTGTTTTTATTAACATAGTTAATTGCTAGTTGTCTACAATCGTGAATGTATCTTCCTCAACTCTGGTGCCTAAATCCTGAGTACTTGGTATTGAACCTCCAGCTCAATCAAAATTAACTGGAAAAGAGCATGCATTTGAACTACAACTACATTTGCTACCAGATGCGAGGCAAACACTTTCCCCGGTGGTTTATTGTGTTAGGAGCCTGTTTGGGAAACTTCTCTAAGAATATGTGATAAGATTAAAGTCATCAAGTGGAATATCTTACACATATCAAGTATTCAATAGTATTCCTTCTATTTGTTTTGATTTCTCAGTAAAGGAACAATGTGAATAGTAAACACAGAAGCATAACTTTGGGATAATGTAGGCTTATTTGGACAAATCAGGACAGGCAGATAGGGTAATTTTCTTCTTGCTGTTGTTGTTGTTTTAAAGGAGATACAATAAAGAAAGCTGGGATGATCACTCACTAGGTACTTGCCTAATGTGTACAATGCCCTGAGTTTCATTACCCAGTCAGTGGCTGTGTGTGTGTGCAGGTGTATGCATGTAGATGTGCATGTGTGTGCATATGCATGTGCATGTGTATGTGTCTGTATGTGTTTGTGTGTGTGTGTGTGTGTGTGTGTGTGTGTGTGTGTGTGTGTGTAAGAAAAAGAGAAACATCAAACTGACTTCCTACTCTGGCTTCTCTACTCACTCTCTGGGTAGAGTTTGAACAAATTATTTTACCTCTCCAAGTCTAGAATCTTCATTTGTAAAAACATGGATAATTTAAAAAGCCATTTACAAAGTAGTTGTGAAATTTAAATGTGAGAGTCCACATAGAACAGAGCAGTGTGTGAAACACACTAACCTTAGGTAACTCTTGCTCCTACCATCATAAAAACAATTTCACAATTCTTAGGAATCCATTCAGAGGAAAATACATTCTTTTCCACTGACACATACACTTGTGTAGCTGTATTGTGTCAAACCTGCCAAACTCGAAATTCACTTTTCCTGTTAAATTATGGGTGGAAGCACTGAGTTTGTTCCCTTCATCCAAACAACACTCAGTGAGTGTCCAACTTGTGTCAGATTCAGTGAACACGCTTGATTCAAAGAAAGCTGGATTTGAGGAAACAAAAACAGCCATGAAATGGCGAAGAATTCAGGCAGAGGGAAACCCACCGGCAGACAGGAGAGGGAAATTTAACATGAAGGCTTATCACTGGTCAGAATGCCAGGAAAGGTTTGTCAAAGCCGAGAAAGGAAAAGAAGAGCACTGAAGCTTCTGCCAGCACCAACGTGGAGAAACACAGATGGATTCGAATGCTGGCCACCGACAGGCCATTTGCTAGCATTCAAGAGAGGCTATGCAAGAAGAGAAGAGCACAGTGGGCTCAGAGCAAGGGCTTCTTTGCATATTACATATCTCTTTATACCCAACTCTCTTTCCACTTTAAAGCTAAAAGCAATAACAAACAATAATTGGGTATACTTCAAAATCCTTCCCTTCCTTCATTCTCACACCACAGTAGAGTAGACTAAAAGGGGCCATATATGTTTCATATATATGAAAATATTCTGAGTCTAGGGAGATTATCTTATATATATATATATCCAATTCCTACCCTGAATTCCCCCACATGATATGTGCATTTGAAGAGAAGCTTAGTGGAGAATTCATCGACTATATTCTGAGCTGACCATGAACATAGGGATGAAGTTTAAGAGCACAGAAGAATACCAAGGACCCCAGGCGGCCAGGGCACAAGGGCTCTGGGGTGCCAGGGCATCCAGTGGACACAATATATATATATCCAATTCCTACCCTGAATTCCCCCACATGATATGTGCATTTGAAGAGAAGCTTAGTGGAGAATTCATCGACTATATTCTGAGCTGACCATGAACATAGGGATGAAGTTTAAGAGCACAGAAGAATACCAAGGACCCCAGGCGGCCAGGGCACAAGGGCTCTGGGGTGCCAGGGCATCCAGTGGACACAGTCAACTGCAATGCCAGGCAGGATGACTGAAACTGCTCCTAGATCAGCATCAAAGGCCCAAAGGATACTAAAAGCTTGGCAGCTTTCAAAAGTTTCCCTTGCTTCCTGCAGGGGGTGGGGGAAATCGCTAACTTCATGGGAAAAACCATAGCCCAGGGCAAATCCACTGGCTAGTTCATCAAAGACATGGCTGAGAGAGAACAGATTTCTCTTTTCAGTATAGAAATGACTCATGAGCTTGTTTATTCAAAAAGTTACATCCTCCACTGAAGAGAGGTGGATAATAAGGAAGCAGGATGATAATATTTCATGTTTGCATTACACAGCTCACACCCTCCTGCTTCTCATCTTTCTATGCACAGTTACACCAACATCCCCAGTGACTGAAAGGCGACCAGTCTGCTTCGTTCTACTCTGCTGTGATAAATAAAGCAAATAACATATCTACTCTCCTTTACTTTGTCCTTAGTCCTTTCGAGAAGGCAATATACTCTTTTTGCTTAAAAATATAAGGACTTAGATTCAGAATCAGATTGCTTGGGTTCAAATCCCAACTCTGCTGAATTGCAAATTGCATGACCCTGAACATGTTACTTAGCTACCACAAGCTTCTGTTTCTCTGTAAAAATGCAGACAATAGCATTACACCCTCTGTAAGGTCATTGTGAGGGTTAATTAAGTATCCAAAAAACAGCTCCTGGTGCATTGTTAGTGCTCAGTAAATGTCTGACATTATCATTACTACTTCACAGATGGACAGAGATTTTTTTTTCCACTACAGATCTTTTATTTACTATTACTTTGAGATGGTCATATTAACCACAAATGGCAGTAGTCTTGGTGGGGGTAAATAAAATTGTTCCATGAAAAAGAAATTTCTGAGTCTGGGGAGATTATCTGAAATTTTTATGTGCTCTCCTTTAAGAACAATGACAATATAGAAAGGACATAATTGCAAAAGTGAACAGAATCTGTAGTGTGGGAGGAAATCTTTGCCAATTATTGATCTGAGAAGAGGAGAATATCCAGACTATTGAAAGAACTCAAGAGTTGGAGATATAGTGTAGTGGTAGAATGCTTGCCCAGCAATGTAGAAAGCCTTAGCTTTAATGCCTAGGACTGAAAATTAATTAATTTTATTAAACACCAAAAGAACAAATAAACTAATCAATAACTTGATCTGACAGACAGTTCTCAAAGGAAGAAGGATTATTTTATGCCAATAAATAGATGAAAAAGTGCTCAATGTCCACCTCACCCCCACCAGAATGGCTATCATTAAGAAAATGAATGCTATCAAGGATGTTGGGATACAGAACACTCATTCATTGCTAGTGGGAATGCAAACAGATTCAGCCGCTATATGAAATACTATAGAGGTTCCTCAAAAACTTGAATGTAGAACTAACATATGATCTTTCTATGCCACTCTGTTACATACCTAAAAGAATCAAAGTCAGCATATGATAGAGATACCTGCACACCCATGTTTATTGTGGTATGATAGAGATACCTGCATGCTCGTGCCTATTGTGGCACCATTCATGATAGCCAAATCATGCAGTAAGCCTAGGTGTCTATTAGTGGATGAATGGATAAGGAAAATGTGGTAGATGGACACAATGTATGACACAATAGGAACAAAAGAACAAAATTATATTATTTATAGGAGAATGGATTCAACAAGACATTGTATTAAGTTAAATAAGCCAGACTCTGAAAGGCAAATACCTCATGTTTTCTCTTACATGTAGATTCTACTTTGAAAAAAAAGAAAGGACATGAGGGGCTGCAGAGATGACTCAGTGGTTAGGCAAGCCTGTACTACTCTTGCTGAGGACCTAAGTTCAGTTTCCAGCATCCATGTTACATGGCTCAGAACAGCCTATATCTCCAGTTCCAAAGGATCTGACTCCTTCCCCCGTGAGCATCTGCACTCATGTATGCAAATACTCATACATAAACTCACACACATAATTAAAACTAGAATAAAATTTAAAAAAGGCATGAAAGCATATGGGGAGGACTATGGATAGCAAAAGGAGTGGAAAGGGAGAAAAGAGCATGAAAGAGGATGAACTCAACACGTACACACACCCATGTGTAAGTATTAGGAAGGAACCCATTATTTTGTACAATTAATATATGCTAAGAATTCTTAGTTTTTAAAAGAAGAATCATAGATGCTGTAATGTTTGTTCTGACACATGAAGAGAATTATCTAGTTGGTAGGTTCTTCTAACTCCCTTTAACATACAACCAATTAATCCACTTTCAATTCAGGTAAGGTGGGCTTTTTGCTCTAGAATTTGCTGAACTATGAAATTCCTCTCATATATTAACCTCCCAATGAAGGTCATAAAAATGCATAGCTGCCTCTTTCTACCCTAACACTGCCTAACACGATGGAACACAATCCCAATGAGATTTGGCTTGCTTCAGTCTGTCTGCTTCATCTCATAACTTGTTTTACTCACTGGGTAAAATCAAGACGTCATCCCCAGGCCCTGGGGTGGTTTGGTTGTATCCTCCCCAGCCTTCTTCAACATCTAACCATGTTTCTGGGAGGGACCACTTTAAAGCCGATTCTGGTACTAATGTAGAGGCTGGAATACAAAAAAAAAAAAAAGGAACAAATGTAATATGAAAACACAATTCATTGTGACAACTTCAGAATGTGAAAGAGTTGGTGGCATTTGCTCCTCCCAAAGCTGTTGTGAATATTATTGAAGCATCTATAAAAACATTTCTTAGCAAGCAAGCAAATTATTATTCAGCCCTTAATATATTCCAAACTTATTAAACATTTGTGTTTTGCTTTGTCATAATTATTAAATATGTTTATTATGGATTATTTGGAAATGCAAATAAAGAAAAGATAATAATTGCCCTGAACCTCACCACATAGTGATTACCACAATCAACCTTTTATTTGTGTTTCCTCCCATAATACCTTGGCAATCTTATGTAATTGAGATTGTATCATATTTAGTTCTCATTTGGTTAGCTTAGTCATTTTTCTTATGTATTTTGTAGTGATATTAAAACCTTATAAGCACAATTTTAGTGACTACATAATATTCTATCATACAAGAAATCCATTATTTGCTTAATCTATAATATCTAACATTTAGACTCTTTCTAATAGTAAACAATGTGATTTGAGCAATCTATGCAAATCTAACAATAATCCAAATCATCATCTTAAAATAGATTGCTCCTTGGAATGGCTGAGTCTCCTGATGCATATGAATGGCAGGATAGTGAACTGGACACCTCTTGGGGTGGTAATCTACACTCAGATCATATACTCCCTTATGGCTTCTGTTTCTCATCATCAATAGCCTTCTATTGGTACCATGATCACAGAACTAATAATCACTAATCCTTCCAACAGAGACATATAGAACTGAATCCAATAGCATCATATACAATACCATGCTGAGCTGTGTTCATGTGTCTTTTTCTGGGTCCTTTTCATAGTATCAGGGCCAGAAAACCTGTCTCCAAAAGGAATGATAAAAAGATAGGGGCTGGAGAGATGGTTCAATGCTTAAGACCACTGGCTGCTCTTGTCGAGGGCCCAGGTTCAAATCCTAGCACCCACATGGTGGCTAATAATTGTCCTAACTCCAATTCCAGGGGATCCAATGCCATCTTCTGACCTCCACAGGCATTGCATGACATGGATGCACTTACATGCATGCAGGCAATACACTCATACACATAAAATAAAAATAATAAATGAAATATTAAAAAGGAGAAAAGATTGCCTCCTTTGACAGGGTGAAGGGAGTCTCTTCCATTAAAGGCTAGTTTCACAAGCATAAATAATGAGCATCTTTCCTATTAGAAGTTGCCTGAAAGAGTTTGGATTCCAAATGAATAAAATATACCCTGATTTCCAAGCAGCTAATAGTGCTGTGTTGGTAAATACGCAGGAGATACAAATGTGCATCAACATATAGAGCAGTTTTCTTTAATGGAATTTAGCCAAGGAAGGAATCAAGACAACCAGGAAAAGCTTCCTGAAGGAGAGAATAACTGAAATAAAGCATTTCAATGGCTTAAAAGTTGTGTAGGTAAATGAGAGGTTCTGGTGAAGGCTAGGCCAAAGGTTCACATTCCAAATGGATGGATATGCACTGGGCATATGCAAAGATGAGAAATGAGATGTCAAGGAGATGTTTCATAACAACTTTGATGATGGGAAGATGGAGTTAGAAGGAAGTAAGTGATGAGTCTAGAGAAATAACCAGGGCGTGAAACACTATGAAGGTGAAGAAGCCAATGACTTCCAGTTCACTAAGGTAGAAATAGATGAGTTCTATCAACTTCTACATGAATTGGGCAGATAGTTTTGGGGGCAGATATGAGGTATCCCAATAGAGATACACAGCAAGCCATCAATAAACATAATTCTGAGGTCTGTGGGTGAATACGAAGTAAGAGACATGGATTTGTGCATCATCTGTCTAGATGTCATATTTCAGCCTTTGAGGAAGAGTGTGATAATTCCAAAGGATTTCACTTTGAAAGGACAAAATTCCTGATGTCACAAGTATGGAGAACAACAAGCTATTTTTTATCTGAACCCAAATCTCTAGTAGTCATGGTCTAATCTGAGTCCCATGATAACACAGAAGTGTATATACTGTGGTCAAGCAGAAATCATGGACAATTAGCACAAAAATACACCATAGAGCATGGGAAGAAAGCAATTCTTAAAATAGGCATAACTCAGAAAGAGGCTTTACATATGGTTTGTAAACACAGACACTATAATACCGCCTGTGTTTTTTCCCTCATTATGTCCTTAGGAGTTCAAGGTAGGAGGCAGAGGAGTGGTATAGGCATTTGTTGGTATAATCACTAACTGGCACCACAAAGGCCAGAGTTTTTGATGCTTTGTTTCTGGCATATTTCCAATGGATAATGACTAGGTTCTTTTAAACTTCACCATGTCTAAAAAGCAAAACCCAGAAAAACAGTTGCTTCGAATTCCCATCACAGATGATGGAAAAAAAACATTATTCCAGGCTGTCATCTTCACTGTACTTGATAGAAGGGCTGAAATTATTTTTAAGTTAACAACTCAGACCTCACAGTACCTATTTTAATGAGGAAAAGTTGACTGTTACATGCAGATATCATCATCCTATTCCATACTGCCTTAGGAATATGTTTCCATTTCTTGTTATTCACTAGATTTCTATATGGCTAATGTAAAACTTGTGTATGGTTATTACTGCATAAAAAATTGAGAAAAGAAAGCCTGTATGAGTTATAGAAGCAGTCGGCAACATAATGCTTATCTTCTCTTGGAAGCAATAGAATAGGTCCAGAGGGCAGACAAGATCTTGTTAACAGTAAAATTCTGTACTGGAGAGAATTAGAAGTCAACTATTGAATTTGGCAATTAGGGCATGCATGATGAAGATGAGAGTGGTCCTGGTGGGGCAGTTCAGGTGGAAACCAGATTACAGGACACTGAGGAACACACTAGAGGTGAGAAGGACAAAACACTGGGTCAGAACATTCAAAAAGCTCACTGCTCCATGGAGAACTTTAACTCCAAAGACTGTATGCCTTTAATCTGTCTCCAGAACCTTTCTTTGGATCAGTTTTGATTGGGACCAGCATTTATAATGAGCTCTCACCTTACTTCCCTATAAACATGGATCACTCAACAGTGAAAAAATTTTGAGATGGTCATAAACTTGATGCATGAAACAAATATTGCCTTCTACCCCTTTACCCCTCATTCATCGCCACCCTCATCTTTCTAGGCTTTGACTCAAAAGCAGGCTAGTCTTTTGAGAGGTTTTCGGAATCAATAGGAAAATATGTTATGCATAATTATTTGGGGAGCATCGGTTTGTTGGTTTTAATTGTTTTACTTAGCAATGCCTCAGAATTTCCCTATCAACAACAATATCCTCACAATAACCAACATGATTTTGTGCACAGAACAGGTTCTTTACTAATGGAGTCAATGAGAAGCTCTCTTCAGCAGAACACCAAAAGTCTCATCTGTATTCCATACATTGACTATTTTAATAGGTTAACCTGCAGATGGATCTCCATGAATCATACCCTTGTTTATGAAAAAGAATTGTTGATATTACAATGATTGTATTATTTTCCACAGAATACTTCACTAAATGAAATATTCTCTCATACTCAAGTTTTACCTTCAGCCTATATGCCCTACTCCATGGAAATCACATCTTGGAATCATCTTATTTGAAATTCCTTTCCGATGAATAGTAATGTCCTAATATTGTAACTTCTTATGCACTGGAATTAAAATATAGGCCGACAAAGTTACACATGCACACACACACTGGACCTAGTGAAACATGTGAGATCTTACCTAGACTCAACCACTGACTGCAGATATGACTATATAAACTGTTCACTTTTTAGGCTTCCATGTCCCTATTTGTAAAATGAGGCAATGGTATGGGATGCCTGTAAGCTCCCTTGCTTTCTCTTAGAATGTTGTATTGACACTACAACTAAAACTATTACTTTTGAAAATCCCTGATACTGGCAGTTGTAGCATCCTTCTACATAGTCTTTAGTGCTGAAATCATACTAGGTGTGGCGTGGCATGCACTTTAACATCAAACAAGTTTACCCAGCCATAGTACTCCTATATGGTCCAGTATATCCTGAGGGAGTTTGGCATGAGCGTCACTCCAACAGGCACTCCTCAATGAAATAAAGACTCACCCAATCTATGAACTATCTTGTGGAATCTGAAAACAGGATGTTCAGAGAGAAGAAAATTTGGGGTCACTTTTTCATTGGTAGCAGTTATCTTAAAGGAAATTGATAATTTAATTACTTGGTCATTTTTTTGACATCCCTGAGAGACAACGATGTTCTATGAAGAATGACAATTCTGTCACGTTCTTTGTTCTTTCCCCACATCTTACAGGGAGCTTTTAATACACTGGGTGTTTGAGTCCCCTAATAGAAAAGATGGAATAAAGACAGGAGATGTAAAGGATGAAATGCAATGGAAACACAGAACTTGTGATGAAATCAACCTTGAATTGTACTCTTCACAGTACAGGAAGCAAGGAAGGAGTAGGAACCATAAATCTTTCTTCAGTATAGTTTAATCCAGTAAATTTACCTCATTTTCTTTTTAATTTAAATGGAAGAATTAGAATGTTTGTGATTAGTGTGACTCCTCTCTGACATAACACAAATATTCCCTTGAAAATCAAAGAAAAACTCTGCCTTTGAAAGGATTTACCCTTCCTACAAATTTACAGTTAAACTGACTCACAATAAACAAAAACAAACTACGGAATACATTAAAAGGTGGTTATGAGATGTTTAGTCTTTGAGAATTTGAGTTAGCTCTTTTGAGTTCATAAGATTTCACAGAACCATCTGACTTTTGGAAAGGGTTTGTTTACCCTGCTTTCCTGAAATTACCAGGAACAATTAAAGTTTAGAGATACCCTGGATTTTTCTCTCCATTTGGAAAGGCCCTAATAGCCCATCTGCAGATTTGGAGTCCTGGGTGCACATATGGCCCGTCATTTATGAAATGTTCTTATTTACATGTTTCAATTCTTACTTTATATTGTTTTGAAAAACAAATGCACCCTTATATCTTTCTTTGACATGCAGACCTATATTCCATTATAGGACACAGAGCAGAGAGTTGTCAGGCATAAAAGCTTTAAAGCCTGTACTTGCCTATTTATAAACAAAGAGGAGGAGGAACTTGTGGAACTACTGGAGGACAGTCTGCTGTACTAGACACTTTTATTTAGTGGGTTAATACTCACCTGAAATTTTTGGAGGCACACCTTCTTTCACCTGGAGAAATACTTGAACTTGACCTTCACCTGAAACTAATACAAAAAAAAAGAAAGAAAGAAAGAAAGAAAGACCAGGTGAATGTGATGCAAAGATCATCGTTACACTAAAGATCTTCATAGGTGAGAAAGACAGATTTGTGTTATGTTCTGCTCACTGGAGAAAGTTTGGAAATAAAAAAAGAAAGTCCTTGTTAATCAATGTAACAATTCATTTCTCACTTTGGATTTTGTTGGCTTTTATTTGATTACGCTTAATTGCAGTAAAATTGTCAGGAGAATCGACACAAAAACAGTTGGGGAGGAAAACCCTCAGCCATATGCTCTTTGGAGGCCACTGGTATCTAGCAGACATAACCACCTCACATCCTAGTTTCTCTCATTTATTCTGTGGGCTGTTTTAGAGCTTGTGTTTTCACCAATAGAGCTCAGATCACCCATGAAATGTGTTTGCTTTACCTTTATCCAAACAAATTGCCCTTTTAATGAAGGCTTTTCCCTGCCCCACCCCCTTTCTCCTCTCTTCTTCCAAACCAACTGAGCACATTTAAGAGGTCTGGGGTTCATTAATTTTAAGTGTTCAATAAATTAGTGGAAATAATCAAAAGGCCCAATTCCTTCTGATAATGACAATTTGATGTCAGTATAAGCCAGTAGATTAAGCTGGGAACATATGCTCCTTTGCCAAGAGAGGCTGCCATAATTAAATAGTGAATGCATCTACAAGGTGCTCTCATGCCTGATTAATTAGTAATCAGGTGCACGAACTCTATCTTTCTGGTAACACCTTGTCTTTTATTGGTTAATTACCTTTCTGCCTTATTCGATGTCATGTGAGCCAGCACCTCCCACCACTGGAGGACCCAATGCAGCCTCAGGCTATGGCATCAGGGCCTCGGACAAACTCATATTCTCCATTTTTGTTTCATTGGGATCCTAAACTCTTTCTTCCATCACAGATGGGACAGAACAAACATCGTTCTTTTTAATTACAAAGCATACGCTTCAGAACATTACAAAGAAAATAATCCTGAAAGAGATCCATGATGAAACCTTTCCGATTCTTCTATTCCTGTTTTGATCATTTTCTCTTTTTTTTTTTGAATTAAAAATGCACAAGTCTTGGCTTCCCTTTATATTGTCACATCTTAGGTCAAGCACATTGGCACCGTACTCTTGACAAGTTCCTTTGGTGTGCATGTGTACATGTGTGTATATGTGTGTGCATGCATTTGTGAGTGTGCCACAGTCCATGTGTGGAGGTAAGGGACAATCTCAGGTGTTGGTCCTCACCTACATTGTTTGACACAAGAGCTCTTTGTGTTTTTCTCCTGCACATGCCATGCTAGCAGCCCATGAGCACCTGGGGAGTTCCTCTCTCTGCCTCCCATTTTCCCATAGGAGCCCTGGGATTAGACACTTGAGCTACCTGCTCAGCTTTGCATGGGTTCTGCAGATTCAAACTCAGGTCTTCAGGCTTGTGTGACAAGCACTTTGCCCACTGAGCTGAGCCATTCCCCCCACCCCCCAGTCCAACACGTGCCTTTTGAACAATCAGCTCCAAGAACTTCCTTAAGTTATTCTTCTCTCCTGATTGTATACTCATGACCCACCCACATTTCTTATTTTGAAAAAAATTAAATCACCTGTCACCCATCTCACCTTTTCTTTTTCTTTAAGGTCTAACATACTCACCCTGTTCATATTGGTCTGTGCCTTCTCTAAAGTCAAAAAGCACCTTGACTTCCATATTCTGATATTTATTTTCTTTTCATTTCAGTAACTAATCACTGCTTAGCCACTAGTAATTTAGAATTAAATCAATAACTAACATCATCTCCAGGTCTTGTTTCATTTTACAGTGTTGGGGAACCAACCCAGGGTCTTTCACATGTTAGGAAAGTACCATGCCACTGAACTATACTCAAACCCATAGGGGGCACCTTCTTTTAAAAAGGGGACTTTTCTTCTGTACTTTCTGATGCTAGGTATTTCTAGAAATGGAGATCTTTTTCATTCCCATGGACCAATTAAAAAACCCAAGTTTACAGGGTTCTATTCTGGTTACCTAGTACTTAACTGATAGCTGAAAGACATTCTGCTTATCCCGCAGAGGCAAAAGAACACTACCAGCAGGAGCAGTATTGATAATAAAGAGCTTTCACTGGAAGAAAATGGACAAAATCACATCAGGAAACACAATGACAGCAAAGATAAAATGCCCTTCTACAAAACGTGGGCATAAATAGCGTAACAGAATCAAACTCTAAGAAAGGCAAATAAGAAAAATTTCCAGGAAACATTTGGAAAGAGAAATGACATCATTTAAAGATGTTATAAAAGTCATTCTTGTTTAATGGTTTCCAAGCAGCATCGACTTCAGTACACTAGTACATGTGTGTTCAGTGCGTATGTTGGTTCTTATGACACAGCCACTGAGGTAAGGAAAGCCTTAATAGTTACATATCAGAAGTCTTTTACAAAGCTGCTCCAGAGAGTTTACGATGATTTATGTACCCACCCCCAAACATTATATCTATAAAGCAGAATAGTTAGGGGATGTGAGGAATGGCAACTTTCTTCTCAGATAGATGGAAAATTTTTAAATTAGAAGAAAAGTAATTGGTGCATCACAGTGCCTTGAATAAAACACTGCCACACATCTGAGTTGGGCATGGTGGCGCACACCTTTAGTCCCAGCACTCGTGAGTTCAAGACCACTCTGCACTCTGGTCTACAAAGTGAGTTCCAGGCCAGCTGGGGCTACAGGAAGACCCTGCCTCAAAAAGACAAAAAAAAAAAAAGAAAAGAAAAAAGGCTGCCACACAAATCCATGCACTGTAATTTCACTGGGGTGATTACATCTGGAACTGAAGTAGCCTTAACACATTGAAGTTTCTATCAGAAACTTCTACTTGTTTTTAATTCTCTTCATCCCTCATCCAGGAGCTATTCTTAGTAGGCTAAGGATTCCTGGCTCCATGTTCTATCCTAGCAGCACATCTATTCTCTGCACTGTGGGAATGGCTCCTAGACTGAGCAGACACCAACACTGTTCAACCTCTATGCATACACAAATGGTCTCCACATCCACTGTGATCCCTTCCTCTAACAAGTATTGGAAAACTAAAAAGTGTACGGAATGTTGATTGCTCACTTTAATTAAATGCAGGAATGGCACTCAGAGAAGAGGAACCATTTCAGAATATCACAGAAGACAGAGAAATCTGAAAACAGCAGAAAAAACTAGGAGAATCTGACTTCCTAAACTTCCATGTGCATGTTTTTCTGGGTCTGGATCTGAGTATGTGCATATGGTCAGATGATGAAACCCTTGCACACATTTCATGAGAAGCAGCAAAGGGTGATGTGAAACACATGGGTGCTACATCCCAACAGCCTGGATTTGAATCCTGGCTCTTGCAGTTCCAACAACTAACAAGTTAGTCACCATTTCTGACTTAATTCATGTCACTTGAAAATGGGGGGCAGGGGGGAAGGGCAGTCACATTATCTATTTGATAAGGTTACTGAAGGAAGAACTATGTGCTAACCCACAGAACATGCTTAGCACAGTGCCTGGCACATAGGGAAATATAAAGGTTAGCTTCTGCCCTTTGTGGCATCCTTGTTATTCTGGGCATTGGTTAACAAGGCCCTGGAAATCGCCTTCACTGGTTTTTGCTCTTTCACAGCTGCATCTCATCATGATGAGCCGCAGCATTGCACACGCAACGTAAGCAACTTAAGGAGATCTGCTCAATTTTACTAAGTGTTTTGACTCTAAAAGACTGTAAATGTGAAGTGTCATTTCCCATTTGAATAAATGAAGGAGGGATGAAAATCATTTAATAATAAAGGTATCAACGTGGGAAGAGTTCAAAGGATTTATATAAGCTGTGATATTGCACATATGTTTTTTCAGTGTTTGGATTTCTGATTTTGTATTTGTAATATGAGAATGGCTAATCTTCCTTGTTTATAAGCGAATCCCTGTTGTAGCTGATCCTTCCCAGACTGTAGGTTCTGGTCCCCAAATAGAAGTTTTTGGGTCATTTATTGCCAAGTTATTCTGGTAAATGCCATATGAAGTAAGCTTGCTATAAACACAGACATCTAAAAGAAAGTGAGAAATGTTTTCAGAAAATGTCTCCTGGTAAAAGAAAAGGAAGTTTTACAAATAGCTAGGATGCCAGTGCCTATCACATTAAGATGCTGTGCCATGTAAATGCTCATCTGTCTAGAGTGCTAGGAAAGAGAAAAATCAAGTTCTCCCTCCCCCACACATACCTCAAGCAAGCCTAAGGCACTTTGGAAATTTGGGAGGGAGAAGTAAGTACCTATCTATTTTAAAAGGAAAACATGGCATTTTAGTCAGCTCTATGCGCCTTCCTACTTCACGCTCCCTTTTTATCCCAGTTCCTATTTGGCCACCTCAATTCATTTATATATTAAAACTCCCTTTTCAGTTCCCACTTAGCTATTGTAAGTCAGCCACTGACCACACAAGGAAAGAACATCAAATAGCAGTTGGAATTGGTATCCGCAAATTTTATTGAATCCCATGCTGACCTGTGACTTCTCTTTCTGCCTCTGTCTACACTGGATCTGGCCTCTGGTGCAGATCTGGGATAGCCCTTAAATTTGATATTCTCTCCATGTTTTCACCTGAGTGTGCCATGCCACATTTGTATTCCAGTTCTTCCCTGATCTGCTTCACATTCCTGTACTGATCAGTGACCTTGACCTCATGCCCCAGAAAGATGACATCTTTGACTTAGCTGTGGAAAAGGCTTGCTTGTCAACGGTACCTAGGAAGCTGGATTCACAGGACTATATATACTCCTATCTGATTTCAGTGTCACAGAGCAGCTGTGGAAATCATGCAAGCCCTCATAGCACATGATCCTTTAAAGAACTTTATAGAAATAGTATAAGAAAATCGTGTGTCTACCTTGAAGCCTTCTACTATCCCCAATAATGTTCATTCATGGACAGATATTTTTTTACAGATATTATTTTTAAGTCTAAGAATA